AGGTGGAGAGATAAAGGAGGAGGGAGACAAAGGTGAGGGAATGGAGATTGTGTCATGTGGGGAAGGTGAATGAGGGAAAGGTGGAGACAAAGGTGAGGTAAGGTGGAGACAAAGGAGGGAAGGTGAGACAAGAGGGAAGGTGGAGACAAAGGTGAGGTAAGGTGGAGACAAAGGTGAGGGAGGGTGGAGACAAAGGGAGAGGGAATGAAAGGTGAGGTAAGGTGGAGACAGTGAGGGAAGGTGACATGTGAGGTAAGGTGAGACAAGGTGAGGGAAGGAGACAAGAGGTGGAGACAAAGGGAGGTAAGGTGGAGACAAAGGGAGGTAAGGAGACAAAGGTGGGAAGGTGAGACAAAGGTGAGGTGGGAGACAAAGGGGGTGGGACAGAGAAGGTGGAGACAAAGGTGAGGTGACAGAGGTGAGGGAGGTGGAGACAGAGGAGGTAAGGTGGAGACAAAGGTGAGGGAAGGTGGAGACAAGAGGAGGTAATGGTGGAAGGAGGTAAGGTGGAGAAAAAGGTGAGGGAGGTGGAGACAAGGAGGTAAGGAGACAAGAGGAAGGTGGGAGGCTGGGTGGGAGGTAAGGACAAGTGTGAGGCACAGGAGACAAAGGTGAGGTAAGGAGGACAAAGGGGTGTGCAGGAGGGGTAAGGTGGGAGACAAAGGAGGTAAGGTGGAGACAAAGGTGAGGTATGTGAGACAAAGGAGTAAGGTGGAGACAAAGGAGGTAAGGTGGAGACAAAGGTGAGGGGTAAGGTGGAGACAAAGGTGAGGGTGGGTGGAGACAAGAGGTAAGGTGAGACAAAGGTGAGGTAAGGTGGAGACAAAGGTGAGGTGGTTGAGGAGACAAAGGTGAGGTAAGGTGGAGACAAAGGTGGAGGTAAGGGAGACAGGTGAGGTAAGGTGGAGACAAAGGTGAGGTGGAAGGTGGAGACAAAGGTGAGGTAAGGAGACAAAGGTGAGGTAAGTGGAGACAAAGGTGAGGTAAGGTGGAGACAAAGTAGGTAAGGTAGGAGACAAAGGTGAGGTAAGGTGGAGACAGGTGAGGTAAGGTGGAGACAAAGGAGGTAAGGTGGAGACAAAGGAGGTAAGGTGACAGGTGGGTGAGGTAAGGAGACAGGTGGGTGAGGTAAGGTGACAAAGGTGAGGTAGGAGACAAAGGAGGTATAGACAAAGGTGAGTGGAAGGGAGAGACAAAGGAGGTAAGGTGGACAAAGGTGAGGGGAAGGTGGAGACAAAGGGTGGAGGGAAGGAGACAGTGAGGGTGTGAGATAAAGGAGGTAAGGTGGAGATAAAGGAGGGGTAAAGGGGAGAATGTAAGGTAGGAGGTAAGGTGGAGACAAAGGTGTGGTAAGGAGATAAGTGAGGTAAGGTGGAGACAAAGGTAGAGAAGGTGAGACAATGGTGAGGGAAGGTGGGAGACAAAGGAGGGAAGGTGAGACGTGAGGTAAGGTGAAGGACAGAGGTAAGGTGGAGACAAAGGTGAGGTAAGGTGGAGACAAAGGAGAGGATAAGGAGGAAGGTGGAGACAGAGGGAAGGTGGAGACAAAGGAGGGAAGGTGGAGACAAAGGTGAGGTAAGGAGGGACAAAGGTGAGGGTAAGGTGGAGACAAAGGTGAGTAAGGTGGACATGGGTGAGGGAAGGTGGAGAAGGAGGAGGAGAGAGACAAAGGTGTGGTGGTGGAGAGGGTCAGAGGTGAAGGTGGAGACAAAGGTGAGGGAAGGGTGGGACAAGGTGAGGTAAGGTGGAGATACAGAGTGAGGAAGGTGGGGTGGAGAGAAGGGTGGGAAGGTGGAGACAAAGGTGAGGGAAGGTGGAGACAAAGGTAGGTAAGTGTGGAGACAAAGGTGAGGTGGAAGGTGAGACAAAAGTGAGGGAAGGTGGAGACAAAGGTGAGGGAAGTAAGACAATGGTGAGGGGGAAGGTGGAGACAAAGGTGAGGTAAGGTGGAATGGAAGAGGAGGGAAGGTGGAGACAAGGTGAGGGTAGTGGAGACAGAGGGGATAAGGTGGAGACAAAGGTGAGGGAGAGACAAAGGTGAGGGAAGGAGACAAAGGTGAGGGAAGGTGGAGACAAAGGTAGAGGGAAGGTGGAGACAAAGGGGAGGTAAGGTGGAGACAAAGGTGAGGAAGGAGACAAAAGTGGAGGGAAGGTGGAGACAAAGGTGAGGGAAGGTGGACAAAGGGAGGGGGTGGAGATCACAGGAGGTAAGGTGAAGGGGAGAGAAGGTGTGGAGACAAAGGTGAGGGAAGGTGGACAGAGGGTGGTGGAGACAAAGGTGAGGGAAGGTGGAACAAAGGAGGGGAAGGTGGAGCAAAGTGAGGGGTAAGGTGGAGACAAAGGTGAGGGAAGGTGGAGACAAAGGTGAGGAAGGTGAGACAAAGGTGAGGGGAAGGTGGAGACAAAGGTGAGGGAAGGTGGGATACAAGGAGGGAAGGTGGAGACAAAGGTGAGGTAAGGTGGAGACAAAGGTGAGGGAAGGTGGAGATAAAGGTGAGGGGGTGGACAAGTGGGTAAGGTGGAGACAAAGGAGGGAAGGTGGAGACAAAGTGAGGTAAGGTGGAGACAAAGGTGAGGGAAGGAGACAAAGGTGGAGGTAAGGTGGAGACGAAGGTGAGGGGGAGGTGGAGACAAAGGTGAGGTAAGGTGGAGACAAAGAGGGAAGGTGGAAGAAAAAGGTGAGGTGGGAAGGTGGACAAAAAGGAGGGTGGAAAAGAGGGTGTGACAGGTGAGGGAAGGGAGACAAAAGGTGAGGAAGGTGAGATATAGGTGAGGGAAGAGACAAAGGTGAGGGTGGGTGGAGACAAAGGTGAGGGAAGTGAGATAAAGGTGAGGGAAGGTGGGAAGAAAAGGTGAGGGAAGGGGTGGAGATAAAGGTGGGAGGGAAGGTGAGACAAAGGTGAGGTAAGGTGGGAGACAAAGGTGAGGTAAGGTGGAGATAAAGGAGGGGAAGGTGGAGACAAAGGTGAGGGTGGGTGGAGACAAAGGTGAGGGGGTGGAGACAAAGGTGAGGGAAGGTGGAGACAAAGGAGGGAAGGTGGAGACAAAGGTGAGGGAAGGTGGAGACAAAGGTGAGGGAAGGTGAGACAAAGGTGAGGTAAGGTGGAGATGGAGAAAGAGGAAGGTGGAGACAAAGGTGGAGGTAAGGTGGAGACAAAGGTGAGGTAAGGTGGAGACAAAGGTGAGGGAAGGTGGAGACAAAGGTGAGGGGAAGGGTGGAGACAAAGGTGAGGGGAAGGTGGAGATAAAGGTGAGGTAAGGTGAGACAAAGGTGAGGAAGAGTGGAGACAAAGGTGGAGGGAAGGTGGAGACAAGGTGAGGTGGGTGGAGACAAAGGTGAGGGAAGGTGGATAAAGGTGAGGGATGGGTGGAGACAAAGGTGAGGTAAGGTGGAGACAAAGGTGAGGTAAGGTGGAGACAAAGGTGGAGGGAAGGTGGAGACAAAGGAGGGAAGTGGAGACAAAGGTGGGGAGGTAAGGTGAGAGACAGGAGGGAAGGTGGAGATAAAGGTGGAGGTAAGGAGAATAAAGGGGTGAGGGAAGGTGGAGACAAAGGTGAGGGGAGGGAAGTGAGGAGTGGAGACAAAGGTAGAGGTGGAGACAAAAGGTGAGGGGTGGAGACAAAGGTGAGGGAAGGTGGAGACAAAGGTGAGGGAAGGTGGAGACAAAGGTGAGGTAAGGTGGAGACAAAGGTGAGGGAAGGTGGAGATAAGGTGAGGTAAGGTGGAGACAGAGGGAAGGTGGAGACAAAGGTGAGGGAAGGTGGAGATAAAGGTGAGGTAAGATGGAGACAAAGGTGAGGTAAGGTGGAGATAATAGGAGGTAAGGTGGAGACAAAGGTGAGGGAAGGTGGAGACAAAGGTGAGGGAAGGTGGAGACAAAGGTGAGGAAGGTGGAGACAAAGGTGAGGTAGGTGGAGATATAGGGTGAGGGAAGGTGGAGACAAAGGTGAGGGAAGGTGGAGACAAAGGTGAGGGAAGGTGGAGATAAAGGTGAGGGGAAGGTGGAGAAGGTGAGGGAAGGTGGAGATAAAGGTGAGGGATGGAGACAAAGGTGAGGAAGGTGGAGACAAAGGGGTGAGGTAAGGTGGGAGATAAAGGTGAGGGAAGGTGGAGACAAAGGTGTGGTAAGGTGGAGACAAAGGTGAGGTAAGGTGGAGACAAAGGTGAGGGAAGGTGGAGACAAAGGTGAGGGAAGGTGGAGATAAAGGTGAGGTAAGGTGGAGACAAAGGTGAGGTAAGGTGGAGACAAAGGTGAGGGAAGGTGGAGACAAAGGTGAGGGAAGGTGGAGATAAAGGTGAGGTAAGGTGAGCACTGATGTTTACCTGAAGACATGGTAGTCTGGGAGGGTGATGGAGAGGAAGAGCAACATCCAGGAACAGCCAGTCAAGGTCAGAAGGAACATCTGGATGGAGGCGTTCCGTCCCATGGTGTCCCTGTCTCGCCTGTCACTCGCAGTTTCACCTGTCTCGTTGTCTCGCTGTCAATCTTCACTGTTTTACCTATCTCTCTGTCACCTTTTGCCGTTTCACCTGTCTCCCGCTGTCTCACCTGTTTCGTTAACTTACCCTTCTCACTGCCTCACCCACAGTCATCCACTTGCACTAGCCCGTCCTGCACGGCGCGACATACGACCATCATAGGTGAGTGTTGGGGGACCGCCAGGCCAGGTGTGCTCTGTGGGAACACAAAGTCGAACAGGCAATTAACACGGGCGCCTTACACCCACCTACGTCAGCTGTCAAACACATCGTTAGAATTCATCCTGGCTCAGTTAGGGGTGGAGGTGAGATGTAAGAATCGGGTGGTAGTTTGTTTGTATTCATTGTCTTCTAATGGTAAATTGTCTGTTTGTATTTAAAAGTTGTGCATCTGCAATCGTGATTCATCTGTAATTATGGAATACAGAGTATGTGTCTTTGTAATAATGAGTCGGCTGAAATCTGAATTGGATGGGGTGATAAACATACGTAGCGAGACTGACGGTGCAAGAATATTCAGGCAGGGTTGTGGTCCTACCTTGTCCAGTACTACATACTGTATATTACTCTGTATATTACTAGTATTTTTTAATTTCTAAATAATGCAATGAATATAAACTTAAAAAAATAATAGTGTTTACATGTTGAGCTTTATAGAACTTTTGTATTAGTAGGTAAAAAAGTTGTGTATTTCCTGTGATTCTTTGCATGGTTTCCTTTATAACTAAAACAAGTGATCGCGGGCACCTTCGTGCCCAGTGAAAGTTTGAACGCTCGTGCTTGGCTAGCGTACAGCGAATGAGGGTGAGCCAAGTCCATAGACTTGCAAGGTTAATTAGGGTGCGCCAAGTCCGTAGACTTGCATCGTTTTCCATCGTAAATAAAATGTTTAATTAATGCCTTCCTAAAGAAACCATCGACATGGGACCAGGATTGTTCCACTCTACGAATTTTTTGTCGATTGTTCACCAAGTTTGATGAAAAACGATTGGGCCGTTTCAGCTGCCCAGAACAGACAGACAGACACAAGCCTAGTCTTATAGTATATATATATATATATATATATATATATATATATATATATATATATATATATATATATATATATATATATATATATATATATATATATATATATATCATGTAGATCCACAATGAAAACGTGGATTCGTTCCATTGCACAGAAACTTGGGTAAACTTCCGTGTTTGTTGATCGTTGTTTTAATAGGGCTAAAATAACCTTTCATTCCTCTCAAACAAGGCAAATTCCTACACTTAAGAATATTTTGACTCTGCCCTATCGTAATGAATTTGTCCCGTTAGTTCGGTCCCTCAAACTACTAAATATTAATGTTGTTTTCAAGTAAGACTCAACCATTACCAATATGTTAATAAGAAATAGCCCAAGTTTGAAGGTAAATGGAAGTGTTAATTGTATTCCATGTAGCAAATGTAATGGTAATTATGTAGGACAGACAGGAAAAACACTGCAGCTCAGAATCAGACAACATAAGTACAATATCAGAACAGCATCTGAAAGCAGTGCCCTGTTCGTTCATGTTAGGAATAATAATCATCCCATTGCTTGGGAAAAAAGCTTAGAAGTATTCAAATCATCTTGTGTCACAGAAAGACTTCTGGTTGAAGCTAGTTTGATTAAGGAATTAAAATCAATAAACATTAGTGATGGTCAGTTCAAAACTGATAATATGTTACATAAATTTATTTGTCAGTGGCCCAAGGTTAAAAATGCTTTGAAAACCTTTGATCTAGATGTAGGATAGTTATTTAGTGGGTCCCTTATTTTTGACCTGACCTGACTAGTCACGTCGCCCCCTTCTCTTAAGCTCCTCTACATGTGTGTTGGTGTTGGTGTGGGGATTAGTGGATGACATCATTATGACCTGACCTCATGTTTAATAAGGTCACCCTGTATATTTAAGCCTCTCTCTGTCCATGTAATCCAGTTGCCTCTGAAGATGTCTTGAATAAAGACGAAAGCTAAGGTGCTCCGTTGTTTCCCTTTTTCCCGTGTGATTTTATCATATATATATATATATATATATATATATATATATATATATATATATATATATATATATATATATATATATATATATATATATATATATATATATTGTCCCTGTAAAAACTAATTATCCTAATACCTAATAATATTTTACCGTAACTACAAATTTACAACAATAATAATATGGCAACAAACACATTAACAACAAAAATATTTACAGCAATATTAATATTACAATAAACACGGTTACAGCAAAAATAGCAGAACAACAAACGAAGCAAAACTATTTAGTGTTCATCCATAACAATACAAAAATTTTATAAACAATTGTTAGTTTCAGTGATTCAAAAACATTATGAAATGCAACTTACAACACAGGGACATAACTACTACTACTTTGCTGTCACTCGGAATCGAGTATGACGATCATGCAGCTATGGCAAAATGATATGGGTTATTAGGGATGTCACCGAGGTTAGTGAGTTTTGAGGTGACTAAGGAGCCCGATACGGGACCGGCAGCCTCGTCCACATTAGTTGCACATGTGGAGGGTTCCATCTACTGTGGCAGCGTCTTTCCGACGTTGGAGCTTATCTGCTTCGATTTGCAGTCGGGCTAACTCGAAAGTATTGACATCTTCTCGTGTGGTGCTTCCCCAAGCGTTACAATGTGGAGTAATCGACTCCCAGGTGAGGGGTCGATTTGGCACCTTTTCAGGTTTGTCTTAAGACTATCCTTATACCTTTTCAGTTGCCCGCCAGCGTTGCGTTTACTATTCGTTAGATGACTGTAAAGTAGCTGCTTTGACAGTCTACTGTCGTCCATGCGGGTAACATGGCCAGTCCAACGTAGTTGCTCATGGAAAATGGTAGCCTCGATGCTCCTACAGTTGGTGTCAGCAAGAATGCTGGCATTTGTTCTATTGTCTTCCCAGAGAACTCGGAGGATGGAACGTAGACTACGATGGTGAAAGTTTTCAAGTGCCTTGAGGTGCCTCCTGTATGTGACCTATGTCTCGCTGCCATATAGTAGGATGGGCAGGACCACTGCTCGATATATGTGCAACTTTGTGGATAATTTCATCTCCCTACAGCTGAAGACACGATTTCGGAGTCCGCCCAAGGCGTGAGATGCACATCTGATCCGATGCTGAATTTCTTCATCGATGTACGCGGTGGTGGACAGATGGGAGCCGAGATACCGAAAGTGGGCAACATTAGAGAGTGTAGTACCGTTAAGCTGGATGGATGGTGGAGGTGTGTCTGAACCAGGGGCAGGTTGAAAGAGAATCTGAGTCTTACGTACATTCACCTCAAGGCCGAAGTGTGCATACGCGTCTGCATAGGTGTTCAGGATCTCCTGTAGGTCGTGTTCAGTGTGAGCAACAAGTGTGAGGTCGTCTGCATAGTGAAGTTCAGTAATGGAAGCTGCCGACACTTTTGTTCTTACCTGGAGTTGTCTTATGTTGAAAAGACCCCCCTTTACCCGGTATTCGATGTTCACTCCACTTGCTAAATTGGCACTGGCACGAGTAAGGAAGGCAGCCAAGAAGATGGAAAAGAGAGTTGGTGCCAGTACACACCCTTGTTTAACCCCAGCTTGGATGGGAAAGAACTCTGAATGGGTGCCGTTGTGCAGGACATTGCCGTTCATGCCATCGTGGCGATGAATTTTGGTGGGCTGCCAAAACGGCTGAGGGTCCACCAGAGGGCTTCCCTGTTGACCGAGTCGAAGGCCTTGGTTAGGTCGATGAAAGCCATGTGCATTTCACAACGCTGTTCTCTGCACTTCTCCTGTATCTGGTGGGCAGCAAAGATCATGTCAGTGGTGCTGCGTGATGGTCTAAAACCACATTGAGGTTCCGGGAGGAAGATTTCCGCCTCAGGAAGAAGTCTGTTTAGGAGGACTCGGGCTATAATCTTGCCAGCTACGGAGAGCAGCGAGATCCTACGGTAGTTGCTACAATCTGACCGGTTCCCCTTATTCTTATAAATATTAACAATGGAGGCATCTTTAAGAGCTTGGGGGATTTCCTCCTTTTCCCATATATTCTCCAGGAGAGACTGGAGACGGCTGGTAAGTAGAGGTCCTCCCGCTTTATCCACCTCGGCTGGGATTCCATCAGGCCCTGAGGCTTTATTATTGTTCATCTGTTTGATGGAAGTAGCTACCTCATCCAGGGATGGAGGATAGCTATGGTGGGTCAGCTCTGGATGCTGAGGGACCTGCTGGGTAGTCAGGACATCCACATCGGTGTTTTGGTTGAGCATTGAATCGTTGTGCTCTTTCAAGCGCTAAAGGAGGCCTTCGTCGTCTTTAATTATGTGGTTACCGTCAGATAAGCGAAGGGGGCTATGCCACGAGTGACTGACCCGAAAAATATTTTAGTGGAAATGAAAAATTCGCGCATCTTGTGCTGATCTGCAAGTTTTTGTGCTTCATATGCTTTATTTTTAAGTCAGTCGTTCTTTCTATTGCGAAGTTCCCGCTGGGCTGCCGCTTTCTTCTTACATAACACACACACACACACACACACACACACACAGCATCACTATAGGAGGCACACAGTATCACTATAGGAACACCGCGTTGCTGGTAAGAATTATAGGTAGGTGGGGCCATGTGGAGCTCTCTTATCTCCGTAGGCATCCCCCGAGTGCTAACTCACTCCCAACAACGCTAACTTGAAGCAAGCTGGTGGTGATCCAACTTCACAGCACTTTATCTCGCCATGCATGAAACATGAGCCACACATGGATCACCCACCTACACTGCGAGGCGAGTGTATGAGGAGGCGGGATAAAGCGTCCAAGTATTACAAGATAAACTATAACTCAGACGTTATTTCAATTCGTAATAGGTCGAGAGTAAAGCTTCTTAGAAAAAAGATTACCGTGAGCGTTAACTAATATATTCACTGTACACGAGAGAAGACATTCAGTTATGTAGTCCTGGATTGTCGTATTAAGTCTTTATACAGAAGCAGTCTTTTGTTTATGTTTTTAATTGATCTAAAACGAAAAAGCCGACGAGTATCGTGCTGGCGCACTAATTTTACAGTAATGACAAACTTTATATTAGCTTAGAAGCTGCTGTCTTCCTTATATCTGCTGCCCGTTTAATAGGCAGATGTGTAATGATTCCTTGAAGTACAAGTACTGTGATAA